TTTGGAGCCTGTCCTGGAACTAGCTCTTGTAGATCAGGCTGGCCTCGAACTCACAGAGATCCGCCTGCCTCTGCCTCCCAAGTGCTGGGATTAAAGGCGTGCGCCACCACCGCCCGGCCCAGAATATTTTTTCTTAAGTTTAAATTCATTCTTGTGCTACATAGTATGTTTGAGGCCAGTCAGAAATACATATGTTCCTGTCTCTAAAATATTTTTTTTTAAAAAACACCAAAACCTTTGTTGATATATACTGCATACATGTGAGATGAGGTGGGAGAACTGTGGATTTGAGACTGCAATCAAGTTTTAGGGGGAAAGTCACTCTTAAAAGAAAAGGCAGGCCTCTATACTTCTGTGTCTTGCCTTCCACAGCCCAGTATCTCTGCGGCTCAGTTCTGAATTTCCAGTCAGCTTAAAATTTCATACCTGAGGGGGCTGGAGAGATGGATCAGTGGTTAAGAGCACTGACTGCTCTTCAGAGGATCCGGGTTCAATTCCCAGCACCCACATTGCAGTTCACAACTGTCTGAAGATCTAGTTGCAGGAGATCTGACACCTCCACACCAATGCACATAAAGTTAAATAAACCCTAAAAATAAAATTTCATACCTGAGACCCTGTGGCTCAGCTCTGAGATTCCAGCAGATCTCCAAATGGATTTCTTATATTTCTAACCACTTCTGTCTCCAGTAAGGTCTCTTTGAACTGTGGAACCTTGTTAAAACTTTTGTAGCCTCCCTTAACCTACGCACACGCGCGCGCACACACACACACCCCTTGTGTGTGAGGTGTAATGTGTGATCCAAGAGTTAATAAGACTGGCCTAAAAGAACCTGTATTTGCCAATAACAATTGGAAACCAAGAGTACTTGGTAAAGCGTAGCCAACAAAACCAGCATCACCATGGATCTAATGCTACTTACTACATTTTGTCATCATGGGAAGACACAGACTCATCCATGTTTCTGGCGTAGTATGCTATAAAAGCTGCTTTGCAGATGACTCTCTGAGTTCTGTTACTAATGTCACTATCACCTGCATCATTTTCATCATCACCATCCAGCAAATCCTCTAGACTCTTCCGGAGAGGGGTGTTGAGGTCCCATCAAGCCATCAGCAGTTCACCCTGGCTCCCGGGATCCCACGGTACCTTCATTCATAGAAAAAAGAAACAAAATAAACAATGGCTTTAAAAAAAGATGCTAGGTTGTTGGGGTCCCTGGCCACACAGCCCGCAGTTGGCGCCCGCCCCCAAGTCGTCATAACTCCGCGCAGTAGCCCCGCCCACCTGTCGGTTAGCCCCTCCCACAGGCGGCTGAGGTGTCCCCCGTGCCCAGTGGCGGTCGCGTCTATAGTCGTCTCAGGCTCACAAGCCCGTCGGTCCTGCGCCCACTCGTGTTTGCGGGCCGCGCGCTCGGAGGGATGTGGGCCGGGGCCGCGGGGCTGAGGGGCTCCTGCGCGCGGCTGCAGACCCTGCGGGGCGGCCATGGGGCCGGGCTCCTTTCCGGCGGTGCGCAGGCCCTGCACAACTCGGTCGCTTCCTGCGGCAGCAAGAACTTGCTCAAGAAATTTGCCTCGAAAACCAGGTATGCACCGGCCAGGGTCCGCTGAGGGCCGGTCGGATGGAGGCTGTTTCTGCAGGGGACAGATGTCCTCGAGGGGCTGGGTCGGGACCGTGGTTTAGGTGTCTGTGGGGAGGGGAGCGATGATAACGATATTCGTGTTAGAAGATGATTATTGGCAGGTCACATGCAGTTTGACCTTTGACAATTTCTCACTACGCTGTCAGGTGTTTTTTTTTTTTTTAATATACAGTGTTAAGCCTCCTGAAACATCACATTGCATAAAATTTGTCTTAATTGGATAATTTTAGTAATAAGTATATGAAAAGATACTCCGACTTCCTGGGTGGTAGCATCGCACGCCTTTCGGGAGGGAGGGGGGGGATCTCTGAGTTCAAGGCCACCCTTGGTCTATAGCTTCCTGGATAGCCAGGGCTAAGCAGAGAAGCCTTGTCTCGAAAAACGAAAACAAAACAAGAAAAAGATACTTTGATTTCCACAGCATCTTGGAGTCTACTAAGTGTGGTAAGCCAGTTTATATTTGGGGAGGTTTTGTTTTAATAACTGATTTTTACAGGTGGTTTTAGTTTACCAAAGAAGGGCATAGTTTTGATACTGGCCTCAGATTCTTTATCAGGACTTAATGTGGTATCCTTAATGTCCTTTGCTATTCAGACATGGTAGCTTGGCTGACATGTTCAGTCTGTCCCTGTTTGACAGCTGTAACGGTTTTGGGACATCCTGGTTGGAAGTTGTGTGGTTGCACACCACTGGAATTTGATGGTTTTTTTTCGTGACTGTGTGTGGGTTGTAGAGCTGGAGGAAAAGCAACAGAGGAAAACCACCGTTTTATCAAGGGCATAGCAGGCCACTGCGCTTTATACTGTCCTAAGGTGTTAGGTGTCCCTTTTTTGTTGGTAAGAAGTTGCTTTGTGTAACCCCTGACCTTAGGAGGTGAAGAACTGTCATCATGGATTGTTTGGAATTCTTTGTGGGAGATGGGTCCCTTCGTTTATTAATTCATTTATCAGTATGGACTAGCTAGTGGTAATCAACTATTACTTTGTTTTGCTCAAAGTGTTCCATCTTTGGTCATCAGCAGCCCTCTCAGCTGCTTTGTTCCCTTGCCATATCCCATATGATTAGTGATTCTTACTTTGTGGCACATCAAGATGTCTTAAGTTCATTTTACATATATCCCCATCCCCCAACACTATGAACCGGTCATTCTTATGAGGAGCCCAGGTTACTGTGCTGGGAGGCAGAGTCTGGGAGCAGGGTGTTAGAGTGGCGTTTCATTTGTATTTTAATAAATAAAGCTTGCCTGAAGATCAGAGAGTAAAACAGCCCCACTGGTCAGCCTTACAGACCAGGCAGTGGTAACCCACAATCCCAGCCCTAGAGAGGAATATAAGATGGGAGGAGACAACTCACAGGCTGAGTCTCATTCTGCGATTCCCAGGGGCAAAATCGCCATTTTCAGACTGAGGTCGAGGTAAGAGCCAGTGGCTGGCTGCTTTGCTTTTTTTGGTCTTCAGGTTGAACACCAATTCCTGTCTCTGAGTTTTTGTTAATTGTGCTTCAGGATATTGGTGTATCTGGCCTTTGGTCCTTCTACTTGTAAGCGTTTTGTGCTTACCTGAAGCCTCTGTCCTCTTTCCCCACCGTTCTGAAGCTCCTTCCTGTTCTAACAGTGAGAAGTGAGGCTTTCCTCAGTTTCCTAACTGCTCAGTCCAGTTCAGAACCCTCAACCTTTATCTTCATGAGTGGTCAGTGAGGCCTAGTGCTTTAGTGAAATTTGGAGATAACATCTTCCCACTGTAGACAGGCATGAGTCAAAATTACAGGGTTGTGTTAAAACTAACTTCTATCCATCCCCACAGCCATATTGCTGTCTTCCGACCTTCAGTGGTTGTTACGTGGTTCCCATCAACATGTCCCTGTGTCTCCTGAAAGCACA